TTTCTCCCCCCCCACCCTCCCCAAGACGGCGCACAATCTGACATAGGCTTTACATTTACATACCCATTAAACATATTTTCACATTAGTAAAGTTGTAAGTAAAAATTAAAATTGGGGTTTTTTTTAACCCAAGTATAAGACTATAGATTTATCCCTATTGAATCCCATGATATTATGTACTATAATCTGGCCTTAGACACTTACTGGGCAAGTCACTTAACCCTATTTGCCTCAGTTCACCATCTGCCAAAAGAGCTGGAGAAGTAAATGGCAAATCACTCCAGTATCTTTGCCAAGAAAACCCCAAATGGGGTCACAAAGAGTGGACACAACTGAAAATTGATTGAACAACAACAAAATATACTATATCAGGAACAAAAAAAGGGCACTTAAAAAGAATGTCAGGAAGACCAGACCAAGTTCACACAGAAGTAATCCATGAAATAAAATTTTTAAACACTGAGGGGTCAATTTTTAAGATATCTCAAAGCATATATTAAATATACATAAAAATAAAATGTTCCTAACTATATCACCTGTTTTAAAAAATAGACTACAAAACTTGGCTTTAATAGGTGGGATTTCATGGTACATAGGGTTAAGAATTTTTTGTTTTCAGATTTGTTGCAGGCCTTTCAAGTTGGATATAAGGAGAAAGAGCTAGGAAAACTTTACGGCACACAGCCACAATGATGAGGAGCTGTGGATTGGTCCAGCCATTCAGGGGAGTCATTTGGGACTACCCCAAAAGTTACTGAACAGTGCATACCCTTTAACCCAGCAATTCCAGTACTAGGCCTCTGCCCCAAAGAGATTAAATAAAGAGGAAAAGGACCTATGCATACAAAAATATTTATAGCACCTCTTTTCATAGTAGCCAACATTTGGAAGACAGGGAGTGTCCTCCCATTGAAAAATGGCTAAGCAAATTATGGTATGTGAATGTAATGGAATTATGCCATAAGTTCTGCCAAAATAAACAGTAGCAGCAGACACGGGGGAGACCTCTATGAATGATGCAGATCGAAGTAATCGGAACCAGGAAAACAGTTTATACAATGACAACAACATCATAGAGAAAAACAACTTTGAAAGACTTTAGAACTCGGATCAGTGCCCTGATAAATCACAAGTCTAGGGGAAGAAGATAAAATATACTACCCACCTCCTGCCAAAAAGGTGGTAAACTTAAAATGCAGAGAGAGAAATATATTTTCAGGCATGGACAGTAAGGGAATGCGTTGTGCTCAACTATGCAAGTTTATGATGAAGGCTTTATTTTTCCAGAGTTGTTGTTATTGCTGTTCATTTAGGGAGAGAGTGTGTCAGAGAGACAAATTACAAATGCTTATGGAAATAAAAAAATAAATAAGTTATAAAGGAAAATAAATACTTTCCCCAAAAGTACCATCCTTTTCACAGTCAGAGATAGTACAAAGAACACTGAACTTCAAAACAAACCTGGAAATGGGGCTGGCTCTAAGACCATGGACAAGTTGCATTACCTTTCTACGCCTTCATTTTCCCATCTCTAAAATGGGTGTAATGCTTTCCATACCTGTGATAAATGGGCTCTTTTTCAGAAAACATAGAAGCACAATTGGTTGTATTCATGTAGCACTTTTAGGTTCGCAAAACACCTTTATACACATTGCCTCATTTGATCTTTATAACCACTCTCTGAGATAAATGCTATTATTTTACATAGGAGGCAATTAAGGCTTAGAGTTCACTAGGGTCAGAACGAGGATCACACACTTAGTAAATACGTGAGGTGGAATAGAATCCAGGTCTTTCTGCCTCTAAAAGCAGCAATATAGCTACTACTCATGCTGACTCTGCAAAACTGTAAACTACTTCCTGTGTACTGTTATTAATATTACCACATGTGCTCCCTAAGGCTTCTACTTCTTCCTCTTCTTTTTTCCAAAATCGATTCAGATAATGTGTTAACAATCAAAGGAAGCTGGTCACTTCATCTTCCCATTTGTATTATCTGAAGAAGATATGTACAGAATGCATCCTGAATTGTATTTTAAAATGCTACTCTTTGTTGAATTAAATATAGCAGAAAAAACATTAGATTGTTTTTCCTTCAATGTAAAGGTTGACTGATCCCTCTATTGCTCTATAGACCTTGTAAACAGTTTAATATAAGTGGCTTATGTGCCCTAGTCATAACCGTGAGCATCCCAGAGTTTTTTGTCTTGTTGCCTCTGGGTGTGGAATGGCATTGCTCATTTATTACACACATGGCCTACTGTAAGCCTTCGTTGGACAGTCATGTCAACGGACAGCTGCACCGAAGCCGCAGAAATGCGTGCTTTGTTTTGATTTATGGTTGTAGCAGCTGCATTGAAGCTTTTAAAATGAGCCCATAAGGCACTGCAGATGTTGAGTCCAGGTGTGAGAAATGCTTCACCCTCCAAGGTGACAAAGACTATAGATCTATGAAACCCTCAGACATCATTGGAAACTTGGAATCCTACTGAGAATTTTGACACATTTCAGACAATGAGCCTATCAAAAAATGGGTCTCTGAGATGTTTGTTTGCTTAATAAGGAGTATATAGTAATACATCTATATTTATGCATAATTTAAGAGAGCATGGGAAAATCTGTCCGTTTGAAAACTAGTGTTTCTATCTGTGAATGGCCACAAGGTCTTCACCCAAATGTAGACAACTATTTAAGGAATTCCAGACTGTCAGGGACATTGTGATGAAAGGGCCCAAAACATCTCCAAAGGAAAGCACCAGGAACTTAGGAGTAGACAGTTCTACTAGCAACACTAACAGAAATGGGAGAGATTCTTTTCTTTACACCAGAGGTTCTCAAGTTTTGGGGGTTTTTTGTTTTTTGTTTTTTGTTTTTGGGTTTTTTTGTGACATGCACCCCTAATGAAGTCTGTGGACTCCTCAGAATAATGTTTTCTTGTGCACAAAACAAAATAACATGGGATTACAAAGGAAATTAATTTAATTGAAATACAATTATCAAAATAGGGATATACATATACATATATATATACATATATATATATGTCTCTATGGAGACATAGTTAGATAGATGATGGTGATAGATAGAAAAATAGACACAGCAGATAAATTTAGGGAAAAAAATAGTTCCCAGACCCCAGATTAAGAACTTTTGCTTTGAACCATTACCTCTTTCAAATACTTGTTGTCTGTGGTGAGGCCTCTAAATAAAAACACTGTCAGTAAGCTGTTTAGAGGATAGCATTTAATTTTAGATTTACTATAATTAAAGTAATTACAAAATATTAGCTATGTAGAGGTAGGGTATGTCCATAGCTTAGTCTATTACAATGTCCAATGTGGCATGATTTTTGCTATGAATTCCCCTCAACTTCACCTCCCTCCATTACAGGCTATTCCTCTCAGCTTTTGATGAAGTTACCTTTTTTCCAGCTGTACCTCAAAAGCAACCCATATTAGAATGAGAGCTCTTTGAGGGCAGGGACCATGTTTTGCCTTTCTTTGTTTCCCCAGTGCTTAGCATAGTTCATGGCATATAGTAGACACTTAATGAATGCTTGGTGACTAAGGGACTGGCTTTGTGACTGCCTCCTTTACTCTTATTCTATGTACTTTTTCTTCTACCCTCTGTTTTATTTGCCTTCTGCCTATATTTCAGCAGGCTTACAGATTCAGCTTAGTGACTCACAGATGTCAAAAATGTTGTTGAGCATTCTGGAAAATAATTTGGAACTATATCCAAAAAGCTATGAAACTGTGTATAGTCTTTGACCTAATGATGGCACTACCAGAGGTCAGAGAAAGAAAAAAAGGACCCATATGTACAAAAATATTTATAGCAGCTCTTTTAGTCATGGTAAGAAAAATTGGAAATGGAGGGATTGTCCAACAACTGGGGAATGACTAAACAAGTTATTGTATGTGAATGTGACGGAATACTACTGTGCTATAAGAAATGATGAAAGGGATGGTTTTTGAAAAACCTGGGAAGGTTTGTATGAACTGATGCAAAGTGAAATAAGCAGAATCAGGAGAATAATTTAAACAGTAACAATACCAAAAAGACAAACAACTTTGAAATATTTGTGAACCAACCACAATTCCAGAGGATTCATGATGAAACATGCTACCTACCTTCAATAGAGAGGTGATGGACTCAGAGTACAAACTGAGGGATATATATACATATATATGTGTATATGTATATATATGCATGTATGTATGAATATGTATATATATTTGTGTGTATATGTATATGTACATGTAGTATATATGTATGTATGTATATATATAGTGTGTGTGTATATATATATAGAGAGAGAGAGAGACAGAGAGAGAGACAGAGAGAGAGAGAGAGAGAGAGAGAGAGAGAGAGAGAGAGAGAGAGAGAGAGATGGCTAAAGCAGGAATTTGTTTTGCTTAAGTATACATGTTTATAACGGATTTTATTTTTCTTGCTTTCTCAAGTGTGGAGGAGAGGGAGGTGGGAGGGAGAGATTTCAGCAATAAAAATAAGATAAAATTGAATTTTTTTTTTAAAAAAAGAGTACAGAAAAAAATTTCCAAGCTTATTAGAATGCCAAATTTATTTGCAAGTGTTAGCACCACTCTTGCAGGTAACTCAGAGCAGCATCCTCTTAAAACTAAGCAGATTTTATCACTGTGCTATCGCCCAAATGCCCACCTCCCTATGAAAACCATGTATATTAGCTGCACCTTCCAGGAATGGGGAGTGGGAGGGAAAACCACCATGAAATGGAAAGCCGGGAAGTACTGGTTATAGGAATGTCCAGAATTCAGAAAGGAAGACAGTCAGAGTGGGAATTCAGAAAACAGCGAGGCATGCCACACAGCGGCATCTCATAAGGAAGAAAGACATCCATTTCTGAGACCAGTATACATGTGAGTCAGTAACTGATAAGCAAAACAAAAGGATAGAGCACTTTCCTGTTCATGAACTGGTGGCTAAATGTAGCTAAAGCTTGTTGTCCCTTTTTCCAGGTTGATGCTCATGGCAACATTCTTCTTAGCACCCTGGAAATAAGGAACGAAGCCAGTGGTTCAGAAGTGCTTACAAGTGCTAGTGACCCCAAAGCCACCATGTATTCCTACGACAGTGCAAGCATACAGTACCGGAGGCCCCCCACCAGCCGGGAAGCCTATGGCCGAAGTGCTCTGGGTCGGCACACCATTCACAACAAGGGACGTATCCGGAGGCGGGCATCGCAGCTTAAGGTCAAGATCCCAGATTTGACTGATGTGAATTCTATAGACAAGTGGTCAAGGATGTTTTTTCCAGTCACTTTTTCTCTTTTTAATGTCATCTATTGGCTTTACTATGTGCACTAAATTCTGTAATGATAACATAATTTAGATCATTACCCTCCTCTATTGTTCTTTCTAACCTCACAGGTTCCTAGCAGCTACACTGCTATATTTTTAAGGTAAGGTATTCAGCCATCCACTTGATTTTAGTTCCTACATATCGGTTTTATTACTGTACCATGTTTACTTCAAATCAGAACATTATTGCCCCCCCCGTACATTTCGGTCCAGATTATTAGCTCTTTGGGAGCAGCTTTGAAACAATCACTATTTATCACCATGTTTACAAAAAAAACCAATGACAACAACAGAGAGATCTAGGGCAACTTTTCCTAATATCTCTCAATTTGCTTTTTTTCTCCTTTTTTAAGAATGAAAACAAAAAGAAAACCTTGCTCTTTTCCTGTATTGCTTCCTGGTGATCTGTAACATCATGCTGCCAAAAAAAAAAAAATTCTAATGTTTCAGAACAAGCCATTGACAAGTTACAGATTCTCAGGAAATCTCTGTTCCCTCCACCCCACAACAGAGGGAAAACAAGGAATTCCAAAGAGTGAAAAAGATTCTCCCACCCACCCCACTGCCAGAATCTACTCTATACCTAGTGTGAAAGTTTTCCTAATCTGTGGGGTGGAGAGTAGAGGAGGTAGGGGTGGAAGGGAGACAGAGACGTCAGCAATTTGCCTTTAATTGTGCTTGTCCCGAGTTTGTATCAAGGTCCTGCATTTCCTGTTTAAATGATGTACTATACCTTTAAGCCAGATCTTCTGGAAAGGACTTATTGATAGGACTGTCAGGCAAAATGTAAATTAACTTTAGATCCAAGCTTGTTTGTTATTGTGAACATCTTTTCTTCTTCTGACTTAGAAAATTTTGTGGCATTGTGCCATTTTTCTAAAAGACTATTTCAACTGAAAAGCCCTTGCCTCACATCATTCACCCCTTCCTTGATGCTCTCCTATCATGTTATAAAGTCCCTGCTGCAGATGAGAGAGAAACATAAAAAGACAAGAGACAGAGACACACAAAGAGATAGAGGAATGCAGAGACACACAGAAAGACACCAACTAGAACACACCTGGAAAAACAGAGACACACAGATACATCAAGAGGCAAACACAAAGAAAGAAACATAGAGAGAGAAGAAGCCAATATTTTATTGAGAAATAATTTTCTCCTTTCCATATGTGAGGCAAGACGTATGTGCTGAGAAGGCATGAGAACTGCCAAAAATAACATGAAAAAGTAGGTATTTCTCAGAGTTTCAAGAAGCATTGTCTAAATCATGCACTGGTTACAAGATTCAGAGGGAGTTCAGAAGCAAGGCATTAGCTTACTGTTGGTTAGTAAAATAAATGTAAATATTCTACACATGCTCCAGAGTATAAAATGTAAAATGAATTCTCTGGGACAGTTTTGGGAAAACCAAAACGATTGTTCTCCTATTCTATTGAGAACCTTTCTCCATTTTCAGAAGACTTCATTGAAGCATGGTTAGTTTCAAGGGAAAAAAAATAATCAGTGGGCCTGCAAAAATGGCCTTCTAGGAACAGGAAGGTATCACTTCAATTCCACCTCTACACCAGAGGAGGGAAGCCTCTCCTTCTCTTCCCTGCCCCACCCCCAGTTCCTCACCATGCCCCTCCCTCCTTCCCATACCTACCTGGAGGAGAGGTGGCCACGATTTGCCAAAGGCATGAAGGTGCCTTGGCGGCACCTGTCTCCTTCCCCTCTTCTCTCTCTCCTTCTTGCCTCCAACTTTCCAGAGCCCTACCTACCACTCATAACAGATGGGATTCTTTCTCTCTCTCTCTTCCTCATTTCCTACACACAATGGTACATACAGATGTCATTAAACATTCTTAGTTACCTTTAGCTCATGTCCAATCCTGGGAGAATCAAGGCTGAACATTATGGAGAAAATAAATATTTAGCCTTCAACTGGTCATTTTATTCATGTGCTTTAAAATGGCCATAACCTGTTAAATTGCTTAAATGACAGAAGGAGCTGGGGGGAAAAAAGAAGGAAAATGATGTGGGCTAATTATGTCCTGCTATAGCCTTAGAGATAGATGTCCAACTGTTCAAGTTTCCCAAACATTGAAGTAGATTCTCCCAGTGTAGATGCATGATAGAATCGATCTCTCACATCACAGATGTTACTGCACATTCATTCCTTTGCATTCATGTTACTTTGGCCATAATGTTACACATGATGTGCATTACACTTACCAGCTTTAGGAGGCAGATACTCAGGTAAAAACATGTTTAGGGCTGGAATTACCTGAGAGAGCTTTGCCTCCATTCTCTTTTGCCAAATAGAAACAGGAGACTGGCCGGTCATGTTGCTGGTGGAATGAGGCAAAATGTTCTCACAGTCCAACCTTTCTAGTGCTTTACACTGGGAAACAGGAGAAGGAAACATGTCATGTGCAAAATGATGCTGGTTCATGGGTCCAAGAGTGGGATTTTCTTAAATGAACATTATATATGATACTTGGAAACATTCTCAAGTACATTCCGTCTTTCTGAAGTTGGTGACTATTTTATAACATCTGTTTGAGAAGCTTAATTACAACTTGCCAAATGAAAATATATATTTCTAATGCCAGACAGAAAGAATTTCCAAGATATCTTATAATGATGTCTATTACTTAGCATCTTACCAAAGGGTGATATTCCACTGTTTTTTCTAAACAAAGTATAATCAAAAAAAGCATTTGTTTTGGTTCACTTTGGTTCAGTTGGCAATTGTGGTGATGGCAATGACAGAATAAAATGTCTCAAGAAAGAAAAAGCATGCCAAGATAAAAATTCTAAGAGGGGTGTGGAATAATACCTTAGCAGCCTCTAGCAAGGCAGATGTAAATGCTCATGTAAATTCTGTATATATTTCATTGAAATGTTCTGTCATCTTATGTTGTGTGTGGTTGACCATGGCTTTGAATGGATGCTTAAAAAACCTGAGACCTGTAAATAATGTTCACATGTTCTGACGGCTGCTTTCAGTGCTAGCCCGCATTGTCATCATTCGGGCCCAAACCAGAATCTTTCAGCTCTTGTTCATTCTCAGCCATTTTCTGGTGCAGTTCTGTGATCCTGCTGCAAGGCATTGCAAGGTCCGTGTGTTCAGTGCCTGCTCCCTCCCCCCTCACACTGGCTGGGGCAGTGGCTGTTGAGGGTGTCTAATGGAGATGGGGGGAATCCACAACACCAGCAGAAACTGCTAGGCCTGCCAGTCACTGCTAGTGCTGCCTCATGGAAAGTAGAAGGTTGTAACTCCTGAGAGTTTATTTAATGCCTATTTGTTTATCCAGATCTCAATTATCAGTGCTTATTAAAGGGGGTCAGGGATGGGATGAAAAATTGAAATCTACAAATAACCCAAAGCCTAGTTTTTGCCAAATCCTTGCACTCCTATTGTTCTCCCCACTCAATTTCCTTTTTTTTTTTCACCTGTTTTACTAACTAGGAGCCAAAAGAGAAACTTGTAGTTTTCCAAAACTTTCTGGTTTTTCTTTCTATCTTTACAAAAGTTTCAGTGTGGTTGATAATAAAAGATTAAATACTCAAAGAGAGAAGAAAAGGGAAGAGAAGCAAAGGATGTGGAATCCACACAGAGCCAAAGGAATTCACAAATGAGATAATCCAGCTATAAAAAAATGTGGATAAGAAATTATCTGTGGTCCTATAATACGTCATGTGGGGCCATCCAAGCTCCGGTGGAGATGCTTGTTCCAGAAAAATGCATTATTTGAACGTATCTGGTTTTGTAGTACCATAGAAAAAGCAATAGACTTGGGAGGTAGAGGAATGAATTCAAATCTAGGGTTTATCATTCATATATATATAATCCAGTCAGTTCCCCCAAGTGGGGATCTGTTTCCTTTTATGTAAAATAAAGGGACTGGATGGATGATCTTCTAAGGTTCCACACAACTTTCACATCCAGTTACATAACAAGTTTTTTTGTCATGTACAGGAAAGATTTAGAAGAATACATTTTGACTCCCCCTTGATGAGCTTATGTGGCAGGAACTCAGCTTGACTGACAGCTGTCAATTTTCAACCAGTCTATACAATCTGAAAATTGCTGAGAAGCGTAGATTTTTCTAGGCATTTAAACATAAAAATTTGATACCATAATCATCATGGGCTATAAGGATACTAAGACTTCAGTTGGTTTTCTTTTTTTCTTTCTCCTTGAGCTTTCACATCCAAAGGTTATTCATATCCAAAAAAGGAACTCATAGTAGTTCCTGGAGTACCTGCCCCCCACCCCCAACATGTATCTATCCTCATCCTGGAGTAATAAAAGCTATTCAGAAAAGTTAGTAGGGTAAGCAATGGGAAGGTGGGGGGGAGGCACAGTGGTTGAATTTGTGGTCCAGTTTGGCAGGACAACGATACAGAACAACTCTGCCTGCCTTGCCTGCCACATTAGACAATCAAAACTGAGCATCCAAATAACAGTATATTTGCCTCAGGTAGACATGGTCACAAGATCAAAACTATCACTGAGAGAAGCTGGAGAGTACCAAGGGTTAACACCCCACTCTTGTATGAGGGGTATATAAGCAGAGGTATCTTGTAATACCCCACTTCTATTCCTAAACCAGTAAAGGGAGGAGGGAGGTATATTTCCAGGCATGGCTTTTTTTCCTGAATGCCAGTTATTGAAATTTTAAAACTAGATATGCATCTTTAATCCTCTTGGCCTCTGTAAAGCATTTCCTTTCTGAGATCATCTTTCCCGTGCCAGTTCCTTATCTGGAATTTGTTTCATTTTGCCTCAGGTAACATGATTGAAAAGACTTATTTTCTAAGGGGATTTTTTTTCTTTTTTTTCATTCCCAACTTTCACAAAGTATCTTGAAAACTCAGCCCATAGTATCTTCATTTCATCAGGTTTGGATATCTTCTAGTCATAGGTAGTCTTCACTAAAAAAAAAAAAAGGCTTTAAAAAAAAATCTCAGATTCCTGCCTCAGTTGCCTTATTCTCTAAGTAGCTACTTTTAAAACCTTTGAGGGTGGCATGTGGGACTACATTAGCCACTACCACTGCCATTCTCTTCCACATTATTTCCGTGTATTTCTATATATGTGAGGAATGCCCACTTCCTGGAATATGTGAGTGTGTTAAGAAACCTCCAATTTCAGACCAATTCCAAATTAAGTGAGAATATCCTTGCTTACCTTAAACTAAATCTATGGGAACCCATGGGATTTATACCAGATCACTGAAATATCCACACAAAGATATTCCCTCTGAGGTTCCTTTTATCTCTAACTCAATAATTCTATGACAACCTCACCTTGAATTTCATATATGTAAATAATATTGTGAAATAACACTAAATCTACCCATAGCTTAATTATGACAAATTTTAGTCTGAATAATTTACTCCTTTCTATTTTAGTCCTTCAAGAACGGTATACCTTACTGTCACTAAATGTTTTATCTTTTCCCATTAGAATGGCAGATAAAATACTAATTTTCATCTTGTCCTTTGCAGATGACCAGGCCTATGTTCTACCCCATACCCCTCTCTCCCCAACCTTGTAGTTCTTGCCAAGTCACAAATAAATATAAGTAACACATCTATAAAAAGTTAAATAATTGTAAGTCTTGAATGGGAAATAACATATTGAAGAAAAAGCACTGGAGTGGGAATTAAGAAAACTAGAACCTGGTTCTGGATTAGCCACTAAATATATTTTTGACCTAGAATAAAATACAATGGTTTGTGTGGGCCTTGAATGCCTCATTTGTGAAGTGAAGGGCTTAGGCTACAATGATCTCCAGCCCTAAAAATCTATAATGTGATGAAGTCTCTAAGTCCTACATATCTGTCTAAGTAGAGAAGCAGCATAGTGTATTAGAAAGAGCACTGAACTTGGGGACTCAGAGGGTCTAGGTTTGAGTCTTGGCCTTGCCGTTATTAACTGTGAGTCCTTGGGAGCAAGTTCTTAAACCTCTCTAGGTCTATTTGCTCACCTGGAAGATAAGGAGAGGAGGAACCAAATTATCTGTCAGGCCCCTTCCATCACTAAAATCAAAGATCTTCAGGACTAGTAAGTTAATTAAAGATAATTGAGTCCAAACCCTTATTTATGCTTTTTGCAGATGAAGAAACCAAGACTCTGAAAAATTAAGTGATTTACCCAAGGTCACACAGCTAAATAAGTAGGGAAAACAGAATTTGGACAAGGGTCTTCAGAATCTAAATCCAAACCCAATGGGATTTCCATTACAGCACACTACCTAACATCTGGGCAGTTACTGAATTTGTTACATTGTTCCATTTTTTCCAAGCCTCAATATTTATCTTTCCATGTACCATAACTCTAACAAATATAGAAATTGTTATCAGTTCTTTATTTTTATCATTCTGACCTAAAATTTCTTTATGCCTTTTCCTGACCCATCAACCACTCAATTAAATTCAGTCCATTCCAAGTATTTCTTAAAACATCCAATGTGTGCAAGGCACTATGTGAGGTCCTGGGAATCCAAATTTGGGAGCAGGACGAGAGGGGGACATTAGCCCTTGTTTTTCAAGGAACATACATCCTTCCAAACAGTCTATAAAGAGGGGCCATGTATTATAAAATTGAAAAAGTAAGTTGGATTCAGATGTGGAGAGCCTTAAATTCCATCCCTAATGACAACAGAGATGTAGTAAAGATTTTTGAGCAAAGGGTAATATGGTCAGAACAGTGGATTTGGAAGATTATTTTGGCAGGGAGGACTGTAGAAGGAATAGGCTAAAGGAAAGGAGCTCAATTAGATGGCTACCAAAATAGTCCAGGTAAGAGGTGGTAAAATTCTAAATTAGGATAGTGACCATGTAAATAAAGAAGAGGATGGACAGGAGAGATATAGTCAAGGCAGAATCCAGAGTACTTGGCAACTATTGGATATGGAGGGGTGAGGGAGGCAGAAGAATTGAAAGTTTTAGAGGTTATGAATCTAGGTGACTGGTTTCCTATTCAAGAGAAATAGGGAAGTATGGAGGAGGGACAAGTAAAGAGGTTAGTCTCAAAAATAAGAAGGGCTATTTCTTCTTCTGAGACTAAGGCAAAGAAGAAGACAGTGAAAATAGAAGTGTTGAGGTGTGATGTAGGGAAAATGAAGGAGTTCATAAGAAATGGCCTTAATTTTCTCAGTGGAGCAGGAAGTGATATCCTCTTGGGGTGGTAAGGGAAGAATAGGGGCCACAAGTTAGAAATAGTCACTTCTAAGTGTGTGATAAAGAGACAGTGGGGAAGAATAAAGTGACTGCAATTTGGCCATGATTCAGTCTAAAATCTTTAATTGATCGTATGATTCAGAGCTGTAAGAAACTTCAGGTAAAAGCCCTGTCTTCTATCTGTATTCTACAGAGTAATGGTCTGTAAATGTTGACTGAGTGTCTACACTACTCAGTCAACTGTAAAGTTGACTAAGTGTCCACAGTTCCTGTTTACATAGATGAGGATTGGCTGTCCCAAAATATACTTACAAGAGCTCTTCTGAAGGACAAGAAGAAGGGTAGAGTGGCTGTTGGATACTGCCCTTTGTTCGTAGGAATATCAAAGGCTGCTTTCTAAACAATTGCCATGGGTGGAATAAATGCAAAGAAATGGCCAGACTACCCTGTTGAGACCCCCACCAACTGATAATCTCAGATACCACGTGCCCTCTTAGATGAATTTTGTTCTATTTTTCCCCCTTGTTTTGTTCCCTTGGTCAACCAAAGCCTCTCTTCATAGGTTACCTGCTCATACAGTTGTGATTGAACTATGAGTAATTTATGGCATTAAGCACTAAAGTGACCCCAGTGTGAATCCTAACGGGAATCACAACAGGGAACATCCTCTGCTAACTGTGATGGTAATCAGAGAATAATTATGAGACCTGAAAACTAATCAAGAAGTATTTTGGTCCTTGATACACTCCTAAGACTTCATCTAGAGCCACTATGATAAAAATTCTTTTTCATATGCTCCTTATTAATCTTCCTGTTTTCTTGTCCATAAATTACTCATATTTTAAAATAATAATTGTACCCTTTAATGATTTACCTTAGGATGACAGTCAGATACCTTATTTCTGCTAGATGATCAGATTCTCAATTATTTCTGTTATTCACCACCTACGATCCTTCTATGCCCTCTTTTCCAATATCTTAATCAAATCAACTCATTTTAACTTGCTTCTTGCATCTGGATGCAGCTGGAATCATCTATGAATATACTGCAGCAATATCCCTAAAACCCTCCCAATAAGTCCCTTTGTTCATTTTCTCTAAACTCACTGGAGATTGTTCAGATTTGGAAACCTTAGTATTCATTCAATTCAGTGAGATTACCCCAGTATTCTCAGTCACACATACACACATAAACATACATTTACTGTAATTATATGTTGCATAATTTGTTCTTTTCTAGAGAATTCATATTATTTACAAACAACCCAACTGCTAAAAATCACCATGTGACAATTATTACAAAAATAAGAGTGTGTCATTTCATGTGTCCGAATATCAAATTTTTTAAAAGTCAAGGTTTTCTGAACTTATTTTGTAATGAATGAAACATTCTTCTCCTTTGCTTTTGGATGACTAGGTCGCATTTGGAGGTGCCATGATAGAAGGCTAATAACCAATGTGAAGCCAAGTATTGCTTTAGGGCTCAGTGGCAAAATGAAATGACAAGTTTTTTCCCATTAAAAAAAAAACCACAAACTCTGTTGTTGATGAGGAATAGGAAATGTGTGTTGGGGTGAGGAAAGATGAACTGAACATTTCTATCACAGATATCCATATTGAACTTACCATATTTCAATTCTCCCCTTGATTCTGCCAGATTAGACACAACCTGAAGTGATAGGCCTTTATAAAGGAATCTATCAAGTTTATGAAGGCAGAGTTAATCTATTTTCTTAAGTAATAAACTAGATATCATAGTATCCTTCTGGCAATGAAACATGCCTCTGGAGTCTCATCTAACAGCAGGTGAAGTACCTCTGGAGAGCCATCTCACATGTACAAGTAAATGAAATTTCTTATACCAGCCTCCCTGTGAAGATTATTGTACTTCACTAACATGGTGTCCTGTTCTAAAAAACTGGGTTTTTCTAAAGCAGGTGCCACCCTTCTAGAATAAAGATATATCCACTGATGCCTCTTACACAGTCATAATTTGCAATTCTTATGCAAGGGATAAGCATCACAAAATGCACAAAGAAAAAATGAATTCAACTGAAGGGGGCATGGTGGGAGTAGGAAGTGACCCCAGACTATGCCCTTTGAAGGAAGAAGAGAAAGAGCACCAAGTCAAGTTGTATCCACCTTCTAAAGAGTACAAGTGTTGTGAGCATCCTCCAAATTCTAGTGCCCTGGAGCAAAGCTGCCAGTTACCCCTTGTTATGACTCTGTTCTCAGAAAACATTCCATTTCTGCTAAACTCGCCAAATATTTCTAGAATGTTAGATGGTTCGATTCCCTGAAGTGTTTTAAAACCTTCAACTAATCAATTTGCTGAACAATTCAAAGTACCCTCTCAGCAGCCCAGAAAGGCCATTCCTGAAGAGTTAATTCTTAATCATGAATTTTAATATACCACACACTCTATTAAAAGATTAATAGCATGATTGGTATTACCTGGCTCTTGTAAATAAAATACTCCTTTTATCTGTTTATTTTTTCAGCAGGAAGAACCTATTTGTTTAATTATGACACATAAATTGCAATATTTTACAAATGCTCTTTTGTCATACACATTTGCTTTGTTACAAAAGCAAGATTGTTGCAGTAATACTTTTTATACACCAGTCATACTGCAAAAAAAAAAATGGTTAAAACAATACAAAATGAGTATTTCTGCAAACATGGGGAAATTTTTATGAAATGGAATCGGTTGAACAAATGCCAAGGATGGGCAGGTTGACTACTTAATTTTATAATTCAATTTTTCTATTTTGTATTGGTATATGCTGCATTTTCTGATTCCAACTGCTGTCCTGTCCAATGAAATTTGTGAATCTCTTAGATGCTTTTTACACATAAAATCAAACTTTCATACAGTGTGTGCTTTATTGTACCCTTTTGTTAGGGATTTCGTTAAAATAGTCTAACAGTTATAGTCATTCCTTCTTATGCGTTTAAAGGTCTGTATATCTTTTAATTCCTCCATCGTCTCCAAGGCTCTCTGTGAACAATATCCATGAAAACCTATAGACTGTGATTTATACAATTATTCTAAGACATAGGTTTCCCTCAAGTGCAGTGAATCAAAGAACCAGAAACTGTTAAATGGCCTCTGATTCGTGGCCCCCTTTGGTCCTTATGACTTTTTTCTATTCTTTGTCATTCATACAATTTTGTGTCTTTTTCAAATTACAATCAACCTGACACACAATCAGGTATGGACACAAGAAATGCTCGAACGACTGACTTGAGGACATAGAGCTATTTTAGCAGTCACAGAACTGTAGTTCAGTCAATGTTTCCTTCCCTAGTCTCGTGGTTTCACCCCAGTGTAAGGTGTGTTTTCCTTTGCTTTCCTAACACAAGGTGTTACATGCTGCAGTAAACGATTGAATGGAAAACTTCTGAAGACTAGTGCCAAAACCATCAGCAGTATTTCCCAAACCCTATGTGCAGCTTCTGAAATGTAGAATTTGCTGTAAATATGTAAACTTTATGTTAGCTTGTTTATCCTAAGAACACAAATAAAACATCATTTTTTTTATTTTTTAAAAAATGCTTACATTTGAAAAGCTTACTTTGTACTGCAGTTGAAAACATGCAAGCTTTCAGGAATCTTTTTATAGTCTGTTGTCTTTAAGCAGTTGTGGAAATCTGAATCTATCATTTATGAACTTTGGTTGTAAAATGAAGACAAAGCAAACCCCTTTATTTGGAAATAATTCTTTGCATTCTTCTCCAACAATTGGAAAACTAAAAATACCAGCATATTTTCCAGAAAATTAGTTCTGCTCTTTCACCTTGGCTTTTCTAAATCTTCTTAAGCCACAAACCTTCTAAGCATCTGGATTCTCCTTTAGAACACGCATATATTTATATATTATAAAAGAAAAAAAAATTTAAAAGTCAATGGAATTGTCTTGTACTCAAAATAATGTGCAAAACCGACGTGTCCATTTATCCAACTTGTTCACATTCCACTGTAAATATAAGTATCAGAGGTTGACCTGTTTATCATTCAGTCTCCTGATTCTAACCACACCGCCTTGTCCCCTCTTTGCTCCTCACCCATGCTCTGCTCCCTACCTTCAAAACTGTGTTGATAATAAAATGATGAACATACAAAAGGTGTGGGCTCATTTGTGGTTCACAAAATAGCTCATCAAGGTGGCCAGAGATCAGTTGCATAAATACATCTATGGTTCACTTGGCAGACAGATTCTGGTATCTTGGCAAACATTTGTTAATTGCAAATGAATGTGCTGGGTAAAGAAACTGAGTTTAAAAAAGGTTATGCCAGAAAGAAAAAAAAAAAGATATGCCAGGACTCATAAAAGGAGTGATTACTGAGTTTTAAAGTGAGATGAGGTATGAAAAAAATGTTGTTTCACCCAAGCCTCTCTGCAAGACAACAGTTTGCAGAGTGGTTACTGATCTGCATTGGTAAAAGGATTTTCCTCATTGGGATTTCCATATGCCAATGAAATCACAGGTCCAAACCAAATTTTTTTTCAAAAACATGGGATGAAAGCAGGCATTCTCACTGAAGAGGAAAAACACACACACACACACACACACACACCCTTTATACTGGACCTGACAAGTCTTCCAAATACTATAAACGTAACTATTTCATTAATTTATTCAGAATGGAACATTTACCCCAGAGGGCATGACATTATGTATAGAACAGAGAAAGCTATCAAGGTGCAAATCAGAAATTGTTCCTGCCCTAAAAAAGAGGCCAATCATGCTGAAATGACCGCGGACAAAAAATTCAAAACCACCTATCATTAAGTTCAAAATTACTACATAAATGTTAAGGGGATGCTGCACAGTGGAATTATCAGACTTTTGGGTTTCCACATGGCGATTACTTCTGAATGCCTAGTGCTATGGGCCCATGTACTCTTCCTTTTTTCTCTCTTTTTAGTATCTGCTTTTCCTCCTTACTCAAATACCCACTTTCACCCTCTTCCTCACTTACTTCTCCCCACCACCCCACTATTCCCTTCCTGTTCCACTTGCCTTGCTTAAGCTAACAAATGATCAGCCATCAGAAAGGAAAAAGTATGCTAAAGTATGCCAGAACTCCGTCTACTACACCATTTAGTTGCCTCTATATAAAGTTACTGGGTTTGAGTTTATGAATTCAGAGATAAAACTGTCTTACTCATTTAGAATTTCCTTAAAAGAACCATGGCAATTGTCACATTTAGGAAGACAGTGTAACTGCTATGTTGGGGGGAAGGAGGAAGGAAACTACTTTGGCAATGGCCTCAGAAAAAGCTGAGAAAATTAGGGCAGTATTAAAGAAAGGTGTCATGATTGTAAAGACTCCCTGCTCAGGGAGTTATTAAAGCTGTCTGCCAAAGGAAACAAGGTATTCAACAGGAATCTGAGGGCTGTCAATGAAAACAAAATGGTTACTTGAATTTTAAGTGGATTACAATTCAGTCCTGCTCTAGTGCTTCATTCATAGTGAGAAGTTCTCAAAGGCTTTGCTGGGGGAGTATGAACTCTAAGAGGTCTATCCATGGTAAGTGTAGTGACAGACTGTCTGTCCACCACCTAAGGACCAGCCTTGCTAAATTTCAGTCATAGCAACCCTTAAACATCATCTACTACATATTAGCGGGCAAGATATCTGAATCAGTGAAGGAAATAGTCATAAAGGGTTTAGATTATCTCTTAGACTGTCACAGTAATCCCATGAGGTTAGGTTTTCATTCCTTACTTTACTGGTTTGGGTTTTTGTTTTTTTGGTTTTTTCCCCATCAGGTCTCTTTAAAACAATTATTGCGCATTTCAATACACAAAAGAACAAGAGGTCTACACAAGATGGAAGGAACGAAACAAGAATTTAGTGCCTGCTATGTGCCAGGCCCAGTGCTAAGTACTTTACAGATAGCCCATTTAATCCTCACAATAACCCTGAAAGGTAGGTGGTATTATTATTCCTACTTTATAGTTGAGGAAACAGGCAGTCGGAGATTATAACTGACTTGTCCAGGCTCACAGCTTGTATCTGAAGCTGGACTAAACTCAGGTCTTCCTGGCTACAAGGCCAGAACTCCACCTACTACAACATTCAGTTGCCTCTATATAAAGTGTAAGTCTGTTATGAAGGGTTTTTTCCCTTAAGAATTATTCTATATTAAACTGGGCAATTAACAAAAGTAGTGTCCTCTTAAGCCCTTTGTTTTATTTACTATTAAAGGAATAAAAAGTGGGTTACTGGCTCTGGAGTCAGAAGCCTTGGGTTCCTGGGTCACCTTGGGCAAGGAACTGTTTCTTTATCTGTAAGATGACATCAGGGAGGGAGAATGGGAGCTAGATGGCTTCCGAGGTCCCTTTGAATACTAGACCTGTGACCCTGGTTTTTTTTTTCTTCCAAGTATATCACTAACCATTAACATGCCATCCTCATCTTCCCTTGTAACAAATATGTCCTATCATATGGCCAGATTTGAGGAGGTATATCTATTCTGTATATTTTGAGTCCATTCACCCTGTCATAAGGTGGAGGTGGGGTTCATCAGCAGTCTTTTGATACATCATACACTTTGATACCCAGCTTTGATCACAGGTTTCAAAGTTGTTTTTCTTCATGCAAATGAGAAAACTGAAATTTGGCTGCTGGTGGTTGAAAGTGTCAGAGGTGGAGTTTCAACTAAGTATCCACTGACGCCACATCATGCATTCTTCCCACTACTCTCTGCCAGGTTTTAGTAAGTCACTTCATCTTTATGGATCATTTTCTTTATAAAATGAGGGGTTTGAACTAAATGACCTCTAAGGTCACTTCCAGCTCTAAAATCCTACTATTCCATGAGGAGAGAAAGACATCTCACATGCCCTGCCTCTCAGAGCAAGTACGCTGGACTGTGAGGCTCAGGGAAGCTGAGATGACCTGGATGCCAGGGAAGAGAGGCACAAGGAGGTGGGAGACCAGTGAAAAGGAATTTGAAAATGGAAGATAAACTTTCCTTTCCAAAACTTTGGTGAAGCCAGTCTTACAATAGGGGGGGAAAAAAGGAAGTTATATTTTTCCACCCTCGTTCCTACACCAAATGACCCACTTGTCTCAGGAGCAGAACTCGGGCTAGTACCATTAATATCATACATTACATTATGGATGAAAACAGCTTTTGGAAAGCTGGCATGGGAATCTAACATTGCCTCAATAAGAAAATGCAGAGTTCCACATAATTTATAAAATAATATTTGGAGCACAATCTGTCCTAACCTGGAACACTGGGCTGATCAAACCAAAGTTCTAGTCATATGACTATTCCTTA